GAAGGGACCTGAAGGGACCCTGTCCCACCTCCCTGCCATGGGCAGGAACACCTTCCACTATCCCAGGTTACTCCAAGAGCCCCATCCAACCTGACCTTGGACACTCCCAGGGATGGGGCAGCCACAGCTTCTCTGCCCAACCTGTGCCAGGGCCCCACCACCCTCACAGGGAAGAATTCCTTCCTAATATCCCATCTAACCCTGCCCTCTGGTAGTGGGAAGCCATTCCCCCTTGTCCTGTCACTCCAGGCTCTTGTAAAGAGTCTCTTGAATTTCTCTGGGATGTCCTGGATGGCGCTTTAGGAATCTCCAGGTGACAAATGATGCTGGACTGCGATAGCAGTTCGAGTTTTGGTGTGTTTTGGGGAGTTCCACCCTCCTGCCTTCAGCTACAGGGTCTTTCTTTTGGAAGCCACAGAGCAGAGAGATGAGCCCAGTCCCAGCTTTACCACATCCCAGGAAGGAGGGAGGTGATGGGTCTCAGTGGGATCTGCAGTGCATTGACACCATGGAGATTATGATCTTGTATCAGCTCCATGGAGAGGGAGTTTATGGAATTTGAGGAGATAAGAAAGGACATGAACTTTGAGGCCTTGACAGAGAGCTGGAAGCAGAGACAGTTGGAGATGGGGGGGAGTGGTGAGGACAGCCAGGGAAACCTGTTGTGCAGGGAAGAAACCAGGGCAAATGTCACTGAGCCAGGGGTGGGGTGAGGTGGCGGGACGGAAAGTGTCCAGACAGCAAGAGCAACCTGACCCCGGGGAGGGACGGACGAGTGGCACTTGCTGCAGTGCCAGGGGGATGGGAAGTGTTTCCAAAAGAGCAGAAGGAAGTGCAACAGTTCAGAGATCTTGCAAAGACAGGGAAAAAATGAACTAGCAGGAAGGATGTGAACTCACCCCGATGCGGCATCCAAAGTGTTTCTAGAAATCATGAATCTGCCTTCCCAGGAAAGACGGTGGAGGTCAAAGGCATAAGAGAGCTCTGAGTCGGCCCCCAAATTTTCCAGTTAGTGGACTCTCTGCATCACCTGCAACTAAGGAACTGCTCAGGGCAGGTACCAGTGGTACCAGGCTGGTTGGCAATGGGTAGCTGGAGAGAAATAAGGAGCACTGGGGTCTGGGTTTGGGAGCTCCCTGCTGTCTAAAAGTGATTTGCAAGCAGGATTTCTGGTGAAGTCATGGCAAGTGGAGCTTGTCCCTGTTCTCCTCAGTGGAAATGCATTGATTGCCTTGCTCTGACCTCCACACAGACCCTGCAAGGCCCAAGTCCTGCTCAGCCTCAGCCAGGAGTGGGAGGGGGGATGGCTGCACAGCACAGCATAGCGCCACAGGATCATGGAATCATTTAGCTTGGAAAAGACCTCTAAAGGTCATGGATTCCATTATCCCAGCACTGCCAAGGACTGCTCTGCTCAAGGTGCCTGGTGAGGCTGAAGGCAGAAATCCCTTGGGATAGCACATCTGGCAGAGTGACCATGGCTTGGGTGTTGCTGTTTCTTGAGCAATCAGTAGATTAACGTCCCATTTTTAGGCTCAGTTTTGTCACCCAGAGGCACTGACAGTGTCCCTTCTTATGACTCAGCACAATTTGCAGCCCTGCAGCTTTAGGAATGTGCTTTCTCAACAAGAGTGACATCTTCCTTTCCCTTCCAGCAGAAAATGCTTTGTCACCTCAGGGGGATGTGAGTCACTGTCTGCTTCTTTCTAAGAACTCAGCAGAGTTGAGACTTTTGGGTCTCCATGGCCACTTCTGCCTTCTCCTGGCTGTCCTAGGGAAGGTGACAGCCAGCCACCATTTCTGCCATAATAATTCCAAGTCTCCCTCAGCCCTGGAAGTTTGGGATATCTCCCTGCTTTAGGAAAACACTGCTTTTGTATGCAGCCTGCCAACCCATCCCTTTCTACATCACATTTTTGGATTCTGGCCCCTCAGAAGGGACACACTCCCTGACTGTGGTGTCTCTGAGAGCTGTTCTGGGTGTGGGATGAGCCTCCCCTCCCTGTGGCAAACCAGGGCCTGGTCCCTGGGATAAGGCACCTGAGCTGGCACTCCTGGGTGCAGGGGCATTTTGCCTTCAGGGTGTCTCATTCCTCCCTGCAAAAGCGGAGATGGAAAAGCCATCGGACCACAAACCTTGACTGCCATCAATCCACATCTCCATCAGCACAGCCCAGCTCCTCTTCCTGCGGGATGCCACACTCCAACCTCCAACTCCTCTGGCTTTTGTAGTGCCTCAAAATGCCTGTGGACACACCAGAGTGATGCAAACAACTGATATAGAGATGTGCACCTATGTTACAATAATGATGTTATTCTTATCACAGTAATGACTTAATTTCGGTAAATTAATGACTTGCATTCAGTAAATACCACAATCTGGTTTCAGGATGAGTCCCTCTCTTAGTAGTTTGCAGATTCTGAAACCCTTGACAGCAATGTTCTTGTTTTGATCTGAATCCAGAGGAAACCCCCTCCAAAGTCACCCTCCTCTGGGGTCTCAGCCCCTCTTCCTCTTCATCTGCTGCCTGGGGTTTGGTGCTCTCTGCTTTCTTGTGTTTTCACCTGCCTGAGCACCTCACAGGGCTATTTCTTGGGGGGGGGGGGGGGATGAGCACCACAAATAGCCAGGAGTTTCCAGGGAAAAAATTCCTCCCTGGGAGGGTGGGAGGCCCTGGCACAGGTTGGGCAGAGAAGCTGTGGCTGCCCCATCCCTGGAAGTGTCCAAGGCCAGGTTGGATGGGGCTTAGAGCAACCTGGGCTGGTGGAAGGTGTCCCTGCCCAAGAGGTGGAATGACACGACCTTCAAGCTTCCTTATGAGTCTTTCTTTACGATTCTACAACCCAAGGGCTGTGATTGTGAGGGTTTCATTGCATTCCTGAACTCTGGCAGCAAAATCAGCCCCAAAGAGCTACATCAACAGCAAATACAGCCCCTGCTCCAGGCAGGGGGATCCCTGGGTGTGGATTTGAGCTGGTGCTGCAGCTCCTGCCTGCTCTGGGCCACCATCCTCCCTGCTCCTCCTGCAGAGCGTGGTGGCTCTGGAGATGCCTGGGGATGCTCTCCCCACGCACACACTCCTCCTCCTGCCTTTGCCTCTCTCGTGCAGGCTCTGTTCACACCTCAGTGCCCGGGGAGGGGGTGGATTTGCAGCGCTCTGGGTCCCTCCCCGGCACTCTGCAGCTCCTCTGAGCTGTCACACGTGGGTGGGTGTGAGATCAAGGCAGACATGAGCAATTCAGGGCTCCCTCAGGCTCCCAGAATAGTGGTGAGGAGTGAGCTGAGGTGGCTGCTGTGGGGGGCTGGGATGTGACCCGGCTGGTTGAGGACATTGCACAGGGGTTTGTTCTGACAGGCTCCAACAGTGCCCAAGCTGGATGGTGCCCTCTGGATGACCCCACAACCTGTGTCCTTCAACAAGAAACCCCAAGGCTGTGGGACTGCCCCCACAGGAGCAGATGGGGCTTGTATCCAAGAGGGACTCTGGAGGCTCAAGTGATTTTGGGATGATCCTATTGCAGATCTTCCTCCTCCTGTCCCCTGCTCCTGCTGTCCCCTGGCGTGAGGGCAGCTCTGGGCACTCAGCTTCGTGCCAGTCTCAGCCCTCAGGGTGAAGTTACTGGACTCCAGCACTCCGGTGGCTGGCACCCAATGGCCCAGATGTTTTCACCTGCAGCATGGCCATGATGATCCCTGCTCCTGGAGCTGGTCCTGGGCTGTGCAGGGCCTGGGGAGTCCAGCTTTTTCCCAAAGCCACCACCCCCACATGCAGCTCTTTGTCCCCAGGGTGATGTCCCTCCCCTCAGGAGGAAGGGGGTTCTGGTCCTGCTCTCCATCTCCCTCCCCTCCTCCGTGGGTGCTATTTTGAGTGGGTGCAGTGCGTGCTGTGTGGGATGACTGATGGCATCCACGCTGCCCCGTGGGCTGAGGAGCTGGGGGCTGCAGTTCCTGAAGTGACAAGATGTGCTCCTTCCTCCCCCAGACACACCCACATCGCCCTGATCCCTCCCAGCCCCACCTGGGGCTCCTCTGGCTGCTCATCTCCCACCCAGCCTCTGGGTCTGCTCCTCTTCACCCCTCCCCAGGAGCCCCCCTCCTGCTCTGCCCCTCTGTGTCACCCTGATGGTCGGGTTTGTCCTCCCAAATCCAGCAAGGAAATGCTGTGGGGTGAGCTGAGCCTTTCCCCTTGGGCTGCACCAGAGGTGCAGGTGGGAGAAACCCAACTCCTCCTTGTTCATCCAACAGAGCCTGTCCAGAGCTGACCAGAGCAGCCCAAACAGCAGCAGTGGGGTAGGAAGTGCCATCAGGGATGTGGGAAATGCCATCAGGGATATGGGCTCCATCTCCTTCAGCTCCAGGGGGGACCAGTGGGGATATCTCCCTGCAGGGGCAGGTCCTGCCCTGGGCTGGGGTCCAGCAGGGTGATCTCTGGACAGGAATCTCCAGGGATGGGCAGGTTTTGGAGGCACAGAGAAAAACCACCTTTTCTGCTGAGAGGGAGTATCTGCCCAGCCTCATGTCCCAGGTAAATGAGAGCAAAATGAAATAGTTCCAAAAATCTCACAGGGAAACATCTTTTTTCCACCCTCAGCTCTGGGAATAGCTGATCCATTTTAGCTGCAGCTCTCAGAACGCTTTCCCTAAGCCAGCCAATGTGTTAAATTTCAGCCCTAAAGGTAACATTTTAATTGATTATAATGGGGCCAGGGATGGAATTTAACGAGCTGCCGGTTGTCATAATGAGTGGTGATTAAATGCTTTCTAAAAAGTGTGAGCCAAGCTACCTGACTGTAATCTGAGCCTTTCTCACACCTCCTCCTTCATGATTCTTCTTGTCTTATTTTGCAAAACAGGACGTTCAGACAGGGAGAGCTTGTGGGAGTTTTGACAGCGTGGAAAAGGAAATAAAGAACATGTTGCCACTGTGATAATGTCACCACTATTGTCATACCGAAGGGTTGTAATAGAGGCAAAGACAGAGAGTTCTTACAAAAATATTTATTTATTGAAATCTGGATTGAATCTTATGCCAAAAATACAATTAATTAAATACAGAACGTACAACTTGAGTCTGCATTATGCATTAAATTATGCATTAAAAAAATATATCTATTAAATAAAATTCCTATTTAGCTTGGAGTTATTGCACCTGATCCCTCCTCCATAAAAAAATTAAATAGCAAAACATTTAAGTTGGATTCTAGAACATTTTCGGTTTCTCAGGTAGCTCTGAAGGGCTTTGAAGCATTTCTGGGGGACCCACAGCTGGTCCTGCTCGTCCATCCTGAGAGCTGGGACGTGGAGCAGGATCTGTGCAGGATCTCAGTTCAGCTCCAGGTCATTCATGTACTGCTGGACCCACTCCTGCTCGGGGTTGGCACAGACTTGACGGCCCTTCCTGGTGATAAAGCTGTGGGGTGCAGAGGGGTCAGTTTTTGGTGGGAGAATGAATGGAGGATCACGGGATTATGGAATGGGTTGGGCTGGAAGGAGCCTTAAAGCTCATCTCATTCCACCCCCTGTCACTCCACCCCCTTCCACTAGCCCAGGTTCAAGGCCCTGTCCAACCTGCCCCAGAGACAGGGTAGCCACAATTTCTCTGCCCAACCTGTGCCAGGGCCTCCTCACTCTCACAGGGAAGAGCTTCTTCCTCATATCTTATTTAAATTTACTCTCCTTTAGTTTCCACCCCAGCAGGGGATTCCAGGGATGGAACAAGACCCCTGCCCAATTCCAGCCTCTCCCAAGGATGGGATGAGGATACTTTGCCCATCCACACCAGTTAAGTCTTCGAAGTGGTACAGCAGGGCCAGGGTGAGATTTGTGTGCTCTAAACCCACAGAGCATCACCTCGTACTTCTTGCCTCCCCCAGCCTCCATTTCCTGTCTTTGGAAAAGGGGTGTTTCCCTCCCTGGATCCTGATCCCAAACCCCCCCCCTGCCCTGAGGAGGGGACTTACACAACGCCTGGCTGGGGGCACTGGCTGTTGGTCTCATAATAATCCTCCACGAAGCTCCGGGGCAGCTGCCGGGAGAAGTAGGAGAAGCAGCAGGAGGTCGGGGGGTCGGAACCAACTGTGGAGGGCAAAAACAATCATCAGCAGTGGCAAAGGACGGGGAGCAGGGCCAGGGGGCTGGGATCCCACATCCGTGGGTCTGGGGAGTGGCAGTGACGTGGAGGAGGAAGGGAAAAGATGAGGTCTTTTGAATTCTTCCTTCAATTTTCCCCCTGTTGGCTTCACCCCGAGCTGGCACTGACAGAGCCCATGTCACCAGGCAACATCTCCCAGCCCAAACCTGGCCACCCCCAGCCCTCCTTGGGGTGTCCTGCACAGCATCACTGACCTCTGCAGCAGTGTGGGCAGGGTTGTGGTTGTGGTTTTAACCCTTTTTTTAGCCCAGAAAGGGTAAAACAGGCTTTAGGTTTTACCCTAATGGCCTTTGAGCTGTGCCTTTCCTGTGGCAGGAGAGCCCCCACAACCCTGGAGCACCTGCCTGAGGATGGTCTGACAACATGGGGAGGGACCCAGGGTGGGAGCGCTGGCAGAAGAGACTCTGTGCCAGCAGGGACATCTCTCCTGTCCCCATTTAGGGAGGATGGGGAGCCCCTGGACTTACGTGGTGCAGCAGAGCTCTGGTAGCAGAAGGCAGCGATGAGGACGGCGAGGGCAACCACGGAGACCTTCATGGCAGCAGGGGAGTGGTGGCTGGAGCTCAGCAGGCAAGGGGAGCTTGAAAGCCTCTTTTCTGGCTGATGCTGGGACGGTCACCAGCCCCTCAATTTATGGGCTGAGAGGTCCATGTGGAGCCTTACGCAGGCATAATGGAATTTCCCCCAGAGGAGGGTCCACTCGTGGTGCAGTCTCGTGATGGAACAGAGCAGCCCCAACCCCGGAAGAGTGAAGCTCCCCCCTCAATTCAGAACCTCCCCAGTGACACAGGATATGAAACAGTCACTGTGGCTATTTCTGCTTCTTTCATGCCTGTCCCTTAGCAAGAAGTTCCTCTGTGGAGGTTCCTGCATTTGTCAAGTCCTTTGTTGCCCAACCTGCCCGAGCAGCCCAAAGGACAGAGCTGTGCAGAAGGGCATCAATGGGATGAGGCTGGTTAGGGAAAAAGGGGCTGTAGGACTGGAAAAGTCTACCATGGACTACTTCCCTCACAAGCTGCCCCAGGAGCAGGAGATGGGAGCTGTCACCAGTGTCCTGTACCTGTTCCACATAGCTGGAGGTGACCCAGGGCATGTCCTGCAGCTGTGACAGCACTGCAGGCACCAGCACACGTAGTGGTGGGCAGGAGACAGGAGTCCCAGGAGCTGAAGCACTCGAGTTTCCTCCTCAGTTTAAGGGAAGGGAGAGCTGGGATGGGGTGTTATCTCCTGGAAGTGCCTGTTGTACTCCAGGTCCTCTAAGGAGACCCTGAATGACCAGTTTGGATCAGACAGTTAAGTTTCAAGGGACACTGTTAGGTGAGGCCTTTCATTCTTAGCCTTGGGGTTGCAGGGAGCCAAAATATGCTTGGAGACTTTGTGACCCTGAGGATGAGGCAGATGGAGCTCCAGGAGCAGGGGGAGGAAGGAGACACTGCTTCTGAAGAGCAGGAGCAGAGCAACTGGTGGTGGGGGTGAGGCCATGAGCAGAAATTGGGATGTTGGGAAGAAAAGAGTGTCCTGTCTCAGCAGAAAATTGTCATGACAAGGGGAAGCAGCTTATTGTATGGGAGAGGGTAAGAGCTCACAGCTCTCCCAGGGCTGGGACAGGGATGGTTCACTGGGAAGAAGCCACCAGCCTGCCCAGGGTGCCAGGGAGGTCTAACAAACCCCTCTCTGTTCCTGAGGAGGAGAGGGAAGGCCTGGCAGGGAGGTGATGAATGCTCTGGGAAGAGCTGGGGGCTGTCCAGCTATAATGAGACGTTCCCAGAAGGATTTGTGTTCTCCAGAGGGAAGCAGGCATTCCTGGGATGTGCCTCCTTTTTATTTTCAAGTCATCACGGAGTGGTGATGTCCTGGGGGGTGCTTCCAGTGGAAGGGTTATAACGTCACGTGGAGCAACCCAACCTCACCAGCAGCACCTCTGCACCCTCCCCACAGTGCTGGGCACTGTCTCATCCTGTTTCTATTAAAGGCTCCAGCTCCTGCCCCAGGAACCTTCTGGAAATAACCTGGTGTTTTCCAAAGATCCTCCAACGCTGCATGGTGGGCACAGCCCTCCACCAACCAGGGCTGGTTGGCTCCATGAGGGATAACTGCTGTGCTCCAGGCAGGATAATTCTCTGCTCCAGGCAGGATAACTGCTGTGCTCCAGGCAACCAGAGAAGGGTCTGGAGGACAAGGCCACCTTGGAATTGCACAGGAGAACTCCCAGGGATGTCCCACCCTCAGGGAGCTGTGGTGATGCCCCTCACCCAGGCAGATGAACCCCACGGAGCACATGTGGCTCTTGCCAAGGTGGGCATCGCTTTCCTGGACACACCACGGCCCCCTCTCCATCCTTCCCTCTGCAGAGACCCCTCCCAGGCTCACTCCTCCATCCAGATCCCATTCCCTCACTCCACTTGTCATGCTGCCTGTTCCCAGCTATCCCAGGAGGATGAGGGGGGCTCCTGGCCAGGCAGGAGGTGGGAACTCGGCGTTCCAGTGGTTCCAGCTGGACCAGGATCCGGCTGTGAGTGAGCTCCAGCTCCCTTGGATCCCGGCTGGCTGCCCAGGGAATACAACTGTGGAATGATGTCAGAGCTCTGAGCTGTTCCCTGTGATTATGCCTTCAAGCATTCATGGGTCATGTCTGCAGATCCACCACCTCCAGCCATCTGCTCCTGCCCAAAACTCCATTTATGGGGAGGAAACAAAGACGAGACTCATCTGAGAAAAGATGAGTCTCTTGAAAACAGAGGAATCAGTTGGAAATCTGCACCAATTATTCAAATGTTTTCATTTTGATTTCCCCTCTCGGGCAGCTGGACACCTCCCTGCCTTCATCCCATTGCTATCATGAAGATGCCAAATTATTTTGGACTCTCAGGGATCATTTTTTAGTTAATAAAAACAAAAAAAAAATCCTTAATTTAGCTGAGTCACTTTAGTTTAGGCAATGTGTTTTACAGGGGACTTGGAAGGGCTGGAACTTTTCTACTGCTGAAAGCAAAAAAATAATCCCAGAGCCAAGGTTGTTTGTTTTTCTAGGAATCTAATTTTTCCTTAGAAATCCAAGCAAGGCCCTCACTCTACCAGCTGGACAGAGGTGGGAGGTTACAGTCCTGTCAGTGATGCCCTGGGATGCGGCAACACAATCCTAAAAAAATGTTTCCTTACCCAATCCCCACGTTCCAGTTACAACAAAACAAGAGAGTCATCTTTTCCAGCTCTTCCTCCCTTGAGTAAGAGAGGTTGTGTGTGTTTCAGATGAAGAACCATCTACCCCTGAGACTCAAAGATGGACATGGAGGAGTGGGCAAAACCTGGGGATTCAGTTCATTGCACATCAAGATGGTGCTGTGAGGTGGAAGTTTTCCCATCCTGGCTCCAGTGGTTTCAGGATTCCTGACTCAGCAGGCAGTGCTTGGAGTCAGTGGGATTTGAAGGAGTCTGGCTGCTGATGCTGCTCTGATTTACACAAAGAGGTTTTTCTACAAGTCCCCTCAAAAAATCCCAGGAGAAAGTGCTAAGGAAAGCAAATGCCCAAAATAGACTCAGTGACAGCAGAAATGGGGAAATTCTCCGTCTTGAATGAAAGGGGAACCTGGAAAAAAACTGGTGAGACAGGCTGATGTAAGGTGCTATTTCTAGCAGGGTTTAATGAGGAGGAATTGGAATTAGCTCAGAAAAGGAAGTAATTAAAAAATGTCCTGACTTCAAAAACTGCCTCCAAGACAAGATCCATCATCTCCTGCAGCTGCCTCCCCCCTGCCCAGCTGCAGCACCAGTGACTTCCTAATCAGCATCCAGGAGTTTCACCCCCACCATTCTTGACATAACTGGAGAAATGTTGGAATTTTTCAGATGATGTCACGTCCCAGAAGCGGCTCCAGTGGGACCCTGTGCCTGTGGGAGTGACCAGAGACCACCCTCCAGCGTGGAGGGTCAGGGGGAGAGCGGGGCCACCTTGGCTGGTGGCACGAGCAGTGCTGGTCACCTCTGGCTGCGTTCCAGAGGAAACCCTGAAGTCATGTCAGGGCAGGAAGTTGCTCACAGCTGATAAGAAACGTGTATCTTGTCAGAGGTTCCATCCTCCCCCAGTAAGGGCATTGTCTGGAAAAAACACACCCCGGGGAACGCAGTTCCCTGATGCCTCAGACCTCTCCTGGCCTTTTCGTGGAAGCAAAGCACATCGAAGAGGATGAAGTGTACACAGCATTTCAAAGCAAATTAAAGTGAAATAAAAAAGGCCTCCTTGCTCCATATCCTTGGCATGAAAAGACAAAACAAAGAAAATGTGAATTTTAGGCATTTTTGAGCTTTAGGGACCGGCTGTGGGGCTGTGCTTCTGGCTCACCCTGACTGTTGGGTGCAGGGGCTGGGTTATGCCTGACCCTCACCCCTCAGCATCCCAAATGTCTGGGAGCACCAGAAAAAGTGTCTCTCCTGGGGCTGCATCCTCTGCCCACCTCGTTGGTGAGTCCCTCAGAAGGAGCAAGGAGGACCAGGCTGAAAAGTCAGAGCTCTGCTGGGATGAAAACTAAAAGAGAGCAAATTTAGATCAGACATTGGGAAGGAATCCTTCCCTGTGAGGATTGCCAAGAGAAGCTGTGGCTGCCCCATCCCTGGAAGTGTCCAAGGCCAGGTTGGAGGGGCTTGGAGAAACCTGGGCGGGTGGAAGGTGTCCCTGCCCATGGCAGGGGGTGGGACTGGATGGGCTTTAAGGTCCCTTCCCACCCAAACCATTCTGTGGTTCTTTAAAAACCAAACCCAGTTTTTAAATGAACCCCCTGGGACTTGTCTGCTCATCATAAACAAGACACAAGCTGATTGTTTTCATTTTCCTTGGTGCTCCCCCCACAGTGCAGCTCTCCAGGGGTTTGGTGGGATGCGTGCAGGTGGCCCAGGGAGAACAGGGTGGTCAACTGCACCCCAGGGGTGCTTCAGGGGTGGCTGAGAACAACTTTCCCCTCCTCACTGAGGGGGCTGAGAGCAGAGATAACCTTTAAACTTGTGCCAGGGCCATTGCCAGGCTGGAGGACTTCCTAGTTATAGGATAATGGAATCATTAAGGCTGGAAAATCCCTCTGAGATCATCGAACCCAGCCATCCCCCAGCACTGCCAAGCCCACCACTGCCCGATGTCCCCACGTGCCACATCCACACGTCTGTTTAACCCCTCCAGGGATGGGCACCAGTGGCCCTCAGCCCCCCTTTAGCCCCCCAGGTGCACAGGGCTGATGTGGCCCCTCTCTGCAGGCAGAGCTGTGTCACTGGGAGGGGAGGTTGGAGCCCCATGGGAGGTGTGAGACTTTCCAGCTGCCAGTAAACCCCGAGGGCAAGCACAGATGTTTACTGGCCTCTCGATTTTTGCAGAGCTGTAAAACCACATCCCTCGAGTGGGGCTGGTTGGAGGTTGGGGCTGGTTGGAGGTTGGGGCTGGATGGAGGTTGGGGAGCTCTGCAGAGTCTCTCTGAAGTGCAGGGCCTGCTGGCCCTGTGATGTGGAGGGTTTGGCCACCCCAGCTGGGTTTGTGCCCTTCAAAGGGGTCATTGTCTGGCTGCCCCTGGGTCAGCACGGGCTGTGCCAGGCACCCACATCCCCTGGGGGAGAGGGGAGGGCTCAGGGAGCTCTGGCAGCACTTACCAGTGTGCCAACAGCCCCACAGCCTCTCCTGTA